CTCGGTCCAGTGTCGGCTCCTACCCCAGAGCTCGCTCCAGTGTTGGCCCCGACCACGCCTTTTCCCCCAGATCCAGAAGAGGATGCTAGGGGCGAGGAGAAGGGTGTCGGCTTCGGCTCCAGAGCTCGCTCCAGTGTCGGCTCGAGCCCCAGATTTCGCTCCAGTGTGGACCCAGACCACGCCTGTTCCCCCCGATCCAGAAGAGGATGCTAGGGGTGAGGAGAAGGGTGTCGGCTATGGCCTCAGAGTTCGTTCCAGTGTCAGCCTAGGCCCCGGAGCATAGCCCACGGAGGGCTCCAGATCCCCCGCCGAGCCTAGGAAGGGCTCCCGACCCCCAGTTCTGCCCAGGAAGGGCTCCCGACCCCCAGTTCTGCCCAGGAAGGGCTCCCGGCCCCCCGTTCCACCTTGAGTCAGTGTCAGATTGGAGGGTGCATTGCCGAGGTAAGCAGGAGTGTTCGTATTGCCGTGTTTTAACTTTTTTCGTTAAGATAAGTATGATTTGTGTTAGTTTATTGATTAAGTATAAGCGTGAATATTGTTTATAGTTGATTAACTGAGTACTGTGTTATATGTCAGATAATGGCTGATTTTTCCCCGAGCAAGTTTGTTGGGATAAATGATGAAGAGGTGGAGTCAGTTTGACATGATTTTCAGTTGTCAACCGTAAGTAATAAATTTGGTGATTTAGTGTAATTCATGTAATTGTGTCAACATCGAAAAATCGATGATTAATTGAAAACACTGCATGTTTTTGTTTTCGCAGTATTTTTGATCAGTTTTGCAAATGATGCTTGCTTGTGGTGCATTGGCCTAACGTTAACTACAATTTTATAATGAAATAGGCCAGTTTATTAAAGGCTTTATAAATTTAAATTATGTGAGTGGCTTCGAGCCTAGGAAGGGCTCCCGATCCCCAGTTCCGCCCAGGAAGGGCTCCCGATCCCCAGTTCCGTCCAGGAAGGGCTCCCGATCCCCCGCCGAGCCTAGGAAGGGCTCCCGATCCCCAGTTCCTCCCAGGAAGGGCTCCAGATCCCAGTTAAGCCCAGGGGGGGTTCCCGATAAGTATGATTTGTGTTAGTTTATTGATTAAGTATAAGCGTGAATATTGTTTATAGTTGATTAACTGAGTACTGTGTTATATGTCAGATAATGGCTGATTTTTCCCCGAGCAAGTTTGTTGGGATAAATGATGAAGAGGTGGAGTCAGTTTGACATGATTTTCAGTTGTCAACCGTAAGTAATAAATTTGGTGATTTAGTGTAATTCATGTAATTGTGTCAACATCGAAAAATCGATGATTAATTGAAAACACTGCATGTTTTTGTTTTCGCAGTATTTTTGATCAGTTTTGCAAATGATGCTTGCTTGTGGTGCATTGGCCTAACGTTAACTACAATTTTATAATGAAATAGGCCAGTTTATTAAAGGCTTTATAAATTTAAATTGTGAGTGGCTTATTATAAAATGTGGCTTTTATTTGTTTTATTGCTTGTTTAAAAATGTTTGAAATAAAAATGAATAGGCTTATGTATATGCCACAGCTGAGAATCTTGCGTTGACCAGTTTACTTACACTACTGACATACAAGTGTGCATAGCGCATCATGCAAAAATAAAGGTTTACAAATGCGATTTGTTAGTGACCCATTATAGATTTATTTCGCGTCCTTACTAGACTGGGCAGTTTGGGACTTACTGCAATATACAATACAACCCTCTACATTGCGAGTAAATTACTCTCATATGCGACTAAATATTCACTCTGGGCGACTAAATTATGTCTAATATTAGCCAATGGCTAATCAATTCTCAGATTTTACTCGCCAGTGTGTGAGATGGAGGCTGAGTATAAGTTAAGCACAGATATATTTTCACTCACAGAACACT